TGGGGAGGAGCCTGTTTTGCGGCCGCCCTGTTTTCGTACTGGTTTGTACCCGAGACCAAGGGGTTGACACTGGAACAAGTGGACATCATCTTTGAGGTGCCGGCCAGGAGGTCTGGGTATTATATTCCGATTGAGCGCAAGGCGTCCCAGGCGATTCCAGTGAGAAGGGATTCCGAGTCGATTGCGTTGAATGACCATCCAAATACCAAGAAGCCGGCTAGCGTGAGAGTAGTGAGGTTTGAGAATGATCTTACCTCGGAGCGGTGAGGCAGAGGGGGAGGTTCTGCTCTGTCATTCTGGATTTCTAAAGAGATAGGAAGGAGCTTTGTATTTCGCGAGTTTTGTATCGGTTCGGGGACAGCGGATTACGGATGACGAAAAGGTGGGGCGGGAACCTTGGTGGCCTGCGCCAAGCAGTCCAGCTCGTGTAACCGTTATCATTAGCCAAGTACGGATAGTGCACATATATACATATACCTAGTTCAATAACAGGTTGCCACACATATCTGTGGGAATTGTGCTAAAGTCTTAGCGGTTCTGCTGGCAAACCCCTGGTTGGTACCTTGAGCCGATCACGTCTACAACAGGCGGACTGGGCTTTGATCATCGATCGCCAAGCATCGCAACTCTCGCAACATTCGCCAAAATAACGATCAAGACATTTCTGACACCCAACCCGCGACTTTTCTCCTGCCTAGAATAGCGACACTTCCAGACCCTGTCCTCACGCGTCTTTAAACGAATCGCATCCATTACGAGCAACAATCTCCATGGGCACGGAATAAGCACTTCAATTCGACGTGTCAAACGTCCCTTGCCCCTTCTTTGCGCAAACTAGACGCAAGCTCAATGGCGACCTCTTCTCAACCGCGGCGACGCGGCAGACCAGCGAAAACAACATCCACATCGCCCGCACAATTACAGTCGCAATCCCAATCGCAATTGCAAAGTAATCCGCGTCAAGAGAGTCAAGAAAGTTCCTCCCTGTCCGAATCAATATCCGACGAAGGAGATCCCAACTTTGCACTACCGGTATTCTACGACACGAGTTTCTCGGCTTATCGTGTTAGTCCCTTGTTTATTGGACACCAAAAAAATCACAATCACAATCATGGACGGCCCAAGGGAAATCAAGATCAGGAAAAGGAGGACGAAGAAGAAGAGCTGTCAAACAAGCAACTTGGTATACTTGCGCAGCGGTTACGGGATCTTTTGGTCGGGGATGTCGTTCGCGGCGTGGAAGTTGGATTGGGAGATGATGGATCCGGAGTAATGGGGCGGTATGGTGCTCTGGAGAGGGTTGGGATTAGGTGGTTCTCGTTGGGGCGGTTGTTGGATATTGATCCTTCTGCAGATCCTGAGGAGGAGGAGGAGGAAGATGGGGATGATGAGAATTTGACGACGGCGACATGGAAACGGAGGCTGGCTGAACTAAAGGATAAGAATAAGAGGGTGTTGCAGATTAATCTCGAGTATGAGAACTCGCTTTTCATGGCGCTTTTGTTGCCTCGCTTGGGGGGTGAGAAGGCAAATGGCGCGGAGGAGGATGGTGGGGGAGGCTTTTTTGTGGGGGAGGCAGGAAAGGTACAACAACAACTGAAAAGCAGGCAGTTTCTCGATATGCCGCTTTTATTGCTGCGCATGCCGCCGCCGCTAAAGAGCGTTATTGCCGACTTTCTGGCGACGTCGTTTGACTGTCGGGTTAGTCCGCTCCGATTGGGCACCAGGACGATGGTTAGTTGTCTGGAAGCGTGGTTCCGGACTGTCGGGGTGCCGTCGAGGGGACCGCTGGCCAAGGATGTTGTGCTCTGGTTGGGGTTTCATTTTCCCCAGGAGGAGGGGACGGCGTATGGTGGTGATGACGATGAGGTCGATGCGCAGCGAGATGGACAGCTTGGGCTCAAAACTATCGACGTTAGTATACCTGTTTCGGACCTGAGCAGGTTTGTCGATGCGGGCAGGGAATTGTTGGCCCAAAAGGAGAATTTGAAGCCCAAGTTTGGGCCGTTGGGTCCTTGGGGTTGGGAACGGGATATTAGGAAGAGGAGGAGACTTGCGGGGCGGTTGTACGAGGAAGGTTGGGAATGGAGAGCACAACTAGGAAAAGATAGGGATGCGGCCGAGGAAGAGAGGGAAGATTATCCTTTTACAGAGGCGCTGGGCAGGTATATTGATCAGCATCTCGGGCTGAATCTGTTCCATCCTGGCGTGCGAGTCACCAAGATCGGCTGTGGCGGGTTCTTCATGTCCGAGGGGAAATTGAAGGTGTTTGCGCCTTCGAATCTGGGCGAAGAAGGTGCGCAAGCTGTGACGGCGTCGTCGCCTGGCCAGAGGGGAGGCGTTTTGGAACTTATTTGGGGACTGATGGAGAAGGCCACTGTTTCGCCCGAGAGTTTTCTGGCGTGATTTGGCTGTCCGGGTTCATCAGGAGTGCTTCAAAGGATAATGCACCGAAAATTCGGTGATGTTTGTCATGAGCATGTGCATGGGATATCTTGAGGAAATAGGTTGTTATTTGCATCTTGTTAGATACCCCTTTTGTTTTGTTTGGGAGGCTAATCTGCTATGGGCTGCGGACAATGGATCTGATTTTGTCTTGGCATTTCTTTGGGTTTTCTTTCTCCCGGATTACATTATCTGGACAGCTTCATGACAATGAAGGGCGTTGAAGCATGAGGTGACGGGACATGTGGGGCGTTTGCGACCGTTTCACGGCAGCTCTTCCGCGGAGAAGCCAGGCATCCCGTCCAATGACGGGCTGCTGTACTCCCCCAAAGCCATCACCCGTCGAGGGTCAACTGTAAGCAATTCCGGAGAAGCTCTCAAGAAGTTCCAGAAAGCATAGCAACAAGGGAGCTGTTCCTCCTCCTTGTGTATGCATGCTATTAATCAGCTTAAATGCATGGTTCCGCGCGCAAACACCCCTTTATTTGGATGATGATGTCGACTTCTCCGCTGCTCTCTGGATTTATCGCAAGTTGACGATACCCCTAGCTGCGTTGACCAATGACACCATCAATCGACATGACAAAGCACAACCACCGCGCGGGCCATTGGGATTACCCTTATTCCGATTCATACCCTACTGCTGTACACCACAGACATCTCCAATGAGATGCTTGGCGTTATATCGGAGTCGTGATTTTCCCGTTGTCCACTGGAAGGTTGCTGACTGATATGCTGTTGTATAATTCTCAAGTAAATCTTCCTTTCAGGTTGATGATGCATCAACAGTGTTACCATCGGAGTCGGAGGGCATCAGACAGGATCTGTCAGCAGAAATGCTATCGCCGATGACACCAAAGGGGATATCGTCATCTCGATTGTCCCGACTGTCCATAGCCATGATGTTGAAGGATAAATAGAGGGCTTCCCATCGGGTTGATGAAGTTTGAGTTTTGGAATAGCATCATCAACAGCAGCATTCACAATCTCCTTAACATCATCAACTCTCAGAGCATATCAGAACATCAGATATATAAACACCTACTTCTTCCACTTCCTAGTCTACCCTGAGACGACCCATATTGTTCCCCGTTCGACCAACACCAACAAGACCCCGCAACACCATCAAAATGTCTCCCAAGATCGTCACCATAGTCGGCGCAACCGGTGCCCAGGGCAAAGGCGCAATCAAGGCCTTTATCAACAACCCAGCCTACCACATCCGCGCCCTAACCCGCAACCCTTCCAGCTCCTCCGCCCAGGCCCTCTCCGCCCAAGGACTGGAAGTCGTAGCCGCCGATGTCAACGACCTGTCCTCGCTCAAGAAAGCCTTCTCCGGCTCCAACATCATCTTTGGCCTAACCAACTTCTTCGAGCCCTTCATGGCCCACAACAGTCCCACCAAGGCAATGGAAGTCGAGTACCAGCAAGGCGTGAACCTCGCCCTCGCCGCCGCCTCCACTCTTGACACCCTAGAGCACTACATCTGGAGCACCCTGCCCGATGCAAAGGCCGTCTCCAACGGAAAATTCCTCGTCCCCCATTTCGACGCCAAAGCACGGATAGACGACTACATCCGCAACGAACAACCCGCTCTACTCGCCAAAACGACATTCTTCTGGGTAACATTTTACCACTCCAATCTGCAGTTTCCCATCTACACGCCGTATTTCATCCCTACGGCGGGCAAGTACCTCCAGTTTGCAAATTATGACCCGCAGACACCGATTACTACCATCGGGGATGTCTCCAAGAATACTGCCCCGTTCATCAAGGCAATTGTGGAAAAGACCAAGGGCGAGGGACAAGTTGTGCTGGCCGAGATTGGGACGTTGCCGGCGGGAAAGTTCTTGGATACTTGGGCCAAGGCCAAGGGCTTCGAGGCCAAGTTTCAGAGGGTCAGTGGAAAGGATTATAGAGAGATTTGGCCGCTTTGGGGGGAGGAGATGGGGGTTATGAATGAGTATTGGGATTGGGCCAAGGAGAAGAGCTGGTCTGTGAGTGTGAAGGGGCAGAAACTTGTTACGAGGGGGGAGTTGGGATTGGGTGACGGGGAGTTTGAGAGTTTGAGTGAGGGGTTCAAGACTTTTGAGCTGTAAAAAGGGGTAAAAATGGTTGGTTTGTGATTGCTATTGGGATATTAGAGATTTGGTTTAGTTGCTTTTGCTTTGATAGAGGAGGATAGATACACGTGAAAACTTGGTTCTCTTTTGCTTGTCTTTGAGCTTTGCTTGTGAGATTTTCCTATGCTGATGGTGATGTTCAGAAAGACTCATCTGGCTAACAAGCTCCGAGCGAGTGATGACGACGTCACCGATAAAAAGGGGAAGTGGGTCAAAATTTTAGGGGATTATTTATTATTACTGCTATCTGTATGATGCTGTTGACCCGGAAACATGCCGCACAAGTGTGGATATCCTGGAGCACAAACCAAAGCGAGGAAATGGAAATAAAAGTCGGCGGCATAAAATCTTTTTTAAAGTTTGATCCAACGCACTAGATAACCCTCAACCACACCATCTCATTCAACGAGTCATGAGGTATACAGAGGATCCGCCCGGCTAGCTCAATCGGTAGAGCGTGAGACTCTTAATCCTCCTTCCTAGGAAGGAAAGAAAAAGCACATCTCAAGGTTGTGGGTTCGACCCCCACGTCGGGCTCAATTCCCGGCGGCGATTCCAAACTGAATACCTCATTTTTTGCCCAATCTTACTTTTTTGTTTTGCTTCCATGTTCCTCATCATAGCTGCTCTCCATTGTTCTGTTCATGCCTTCATTTAGTTCGTGGGTAGGAAGGAATAAGAGAAATATCTACAGCAGTTGAGTGAACAGAACTGCAATCCATGTCATTTTTAAACAGGAATTTTGGCACTCGCTGCGCAACCCCGAATCGCAAAACTTCTCCACGGCTTCTTGTTGGTGCTTGCAACACACTGATCAAATGGGGGTGTGGCACCGTTGTCCTTGCATTCCTTGTCTGTGTAGAACGACACTGTTTACGGGAACGCTTGTTAGTCGATCGAATGTTGACAAGATATATGATGAGATTAAATGAGCACTCACCCTTGCAGCCTTCTGCCAGGTATGCTGCCTTGGCGCTCGTGACGGACCATGACGCATTGACGGGCTGACATCCGTTTGTCCTTTCAAGATTCCCGAGCCATGTCTCTATGCCCGTCGAGATGTACCAGTAGTCCTCTGGGCCGCTGCAGGTTGCTCCAGTGTAGAGGGCCGTGATGGTCAGAAGCCATTCTGCGGTTGTCTGACGGGCTGAAAGGTCTTGTGTGCTAGAGACGAGAGGGGACGGGAGGGCAGCGGTGGGTGATACGCTTAACAAAAGAGCAACAGCGCTAAGTCCTCGGAAGAGTTGCATCTTTATGGCCGAATGAAAGCTTGGAGGTATCTATCGGCTGCATCAGGCGTCTCTTTGGTAATGGGTAGACGATGAATTATTCAAGCTACCTTTAATGTCCTCTTATACTTGTCGTAATGTCGCAGTTCTTAACATCAACTCGGACCTAGAACTAGGGACCTATGCCATCCAGGTGTCTCAGAGTCATCCGTCCCATATCAACGGAGGGTATTATCCGGTAAAGGATTGCCTTTTATTGCGGCGCAGTGGCATTGTGAGCCGTCTGCCATGTGGTTCAATATCAAATTCCCTGCGTACAACGGATAACATTGGTCAGGCCCGAGGCGGTCTTGACGGCGGTCTTGACGGCGGTCTTGACGGCGGTCTCGGACTTTTGTCCTTGATCTTATTCTGACCTTCCCGTGCTATAAAATGAAATAGGCGCTACTACCTAGTTTGGAATCATGACATGGACTTCACGGCTCATGATTCTTGTGAAACCGAACATCAGCATCCTTCCCAGGCTACCAAGCTCGATCGCCAGGCTGATATACATTGCGACTACAACGGAAGCTCTTCTTATCTAATAGATTTTGCATATGTAACGGAATCTATCTGGCTGACTGGGGCCGACGCAGGGCCTATGTATGGCCAACTTGGTGTGCTGATGCCTGAAAATGGCTACAAAGACCCATTGTGGCCATCGTGCCTCCAGCAGTTTCAAGCTTCACGATGATGGAAGAAATCAGCAAAAGAATGAAACAATGGTCGACGTGAAGATGTTGTATACATATCTTTCCAGTCAGTGGGGTCCAAATCTCAAGACCCCACCGATCCAACTCATCCGATATCGATCTCATCTCATCTCTCTCACATCCATCCGGTCTAACCTGCATCATCTCGACATAAGCCGAAAGAGACCCGTTTATTGTCCTGATCACAGTAATCCCAACTTGGAAATTAAAAGACCAAAGATGAGCGTATCCAAGCCTTCCGTTCAGCTCACCCCCGAGATCACAATCCAGCCCCCGCTTTCCCGGCGGGGCACCGGTCCCGGACTTGTGTTGATCGTCTCACCCGACCTCCAACTCGTTCGCCATGAAAAGACGCTGGACCCTCCGCCCCTGAAAAAATGGGCCGAAGAGAGCTTTGCTGTTGCTCAGGTAATCCTTGACCCGACGGCCACGGGGAGCATCTCGGACCAGATCAGCACCGCTGTCGAGGCGCTTGGCAAGCACCCAGAGTGCACATCCGCAGAGAAGATCGGTGTGGTTGGTATGTCTCTGTACCCCAGAAGGTCTTTAATCCTAGGCGGTTTACTTAGGCTGACGAATAATCTAGTCATCCATGCCGGCCTAGCCGCTGACGCTGCCTCGGCCATCCTGAGCCACACCTCGGTGACAGCAGCAGTCTTCTATGGCCACTATCCGTCTTCTACAGCTTCTTCTTCCTCTTCTGTCCCAGTACTTGTCCATCTCCCGTCTAAAACGCCGGTTCCGACGAATGAGAACATCAAGACCTACACATACCCCAATCTCAGCCCCGATGCCCCCTATTTCACCATCCCATCTCATGACAACTACAACGCCAGCTCTGCCTCTGTTTCGCATACACGAAGCTTGACGTTCCTCAAGCCTCTTCTCAATGGGCCTTATTTTGACCTTGAAAGAATTTGGGATGAGCACACATACTACGAGTTCGGCGATCGGAGCGTCGAGGAAACCATGGCCACCATGGTTGATGAGCCCTATGTCAATCATGTGGTCACTCTGACCGGTGGTATTGGTCGGGCAAATCTTACTCAATTCTACACACACCATTTCATATTTAACAATCCGGACGATGCCAAGTTGGAGCTGATCAGCCGGACGGTGGGCATTGATAGGATCGTTGACGAGTTCCTGTTTGAATGCACTCATAATCGGACTATTGACTGGCTGTATGTTACTCGGATACTTTCATTCCTGTAGCTCTTGGCCGGATGAGCATTGCTAACTGAGTTCACAGAATCCCCGGGATACCGCCTACCTTCAAACCGCTGAGCGTTCCCATGACTAGCATTGTCAACATCCGCGGGGACAGGCTCTACCATGAGCACATTGCCTGGGATCAGGGGACGGTGCTCAGGCAGTTGGGATTGCTTCCCGAGCACCTCCCTTTCCCATATCCAGTTCCTGGAGCGGAATCAGAGACAAGGACAAAGTATGAATACCGGTTGCCTGTGGCTGGTCTAGCGACGGCCAAGAAACTTGCCGATGAAGCGTCCGAACCATCAAACACCATGCTTGAGTATACCGTTCGGAGGGTGGAATGAAACCGGAGTCTCTCTTGATGCCCATATATTAGAGTTAGGGTTGGACACTTTTTGAACAAATGAAGCTTTATATTATTATATCAACCATTCATATCACATCAATCCCACATGAGTCACATCACATCAAGCACAGTTTCACCTTTGGAGATGAATGACTGGTTTCGGCCCATCAGATGCTTAAGGGTAGCCTGTTTCAGAGAAGCACAGTACATGTATATATTAAAGACTAAGCATAATAAAACATCAAAGAACAAGATTAATCAGCAAGCAACCTAGGTAATTATCCAAAATCTTACAAATGTGCAAATTTCCAAGTCCCGAAAGAATATCAAAGACGATAAAATCGACCAACCAGTAGCCATACCTTTTCACGTCCGTATTCGACCCTTTCAATCCTCCCAAAGCCTTTAATTACCATTAACAGCAGTGACCGAAGTCCGGGTCGTCTTCTTCTCCATGACCTCGCCATTCTTCTCTCCCATCACCTCAGTCTCCTTCACAGCAACCTCAGACTTCTCCTTCTCCTTCTCCAGCGCTGCAATCTCCTCCTTGGTCAATTTCCTGTACACAGCCCCAAACTCGTCATCCCCAATAGCAGCAAGATACGGATCATCCTCGACAGGAACCCAGTGATCTGGATTGAACTCGGCGGCAGGCAGCTTCCGCCAGAAATAAAAGAGCGGATTCTTGCCGCCCCTCCCGCCGCCCAAGATCAAGTTGCGCGGCCGATAGCTGGGGTTGACCTTCATCCGCTCAATGACGGACGCATGCACCTTGACGGGGACCTCATCGGGCACATCACGCGTGTCGCCTCGGCTCGGGGGCCAGCGGATGGGCTTCCACCGGCTTGTGCTCGGGTCCAGATCCATCCGCTTGAACGGCAAGTATTCCATCCAGCCGTACTTGAGCCTGTCCATCTTGAGGACGTCGTGGTGGGTGCCCTTCAGCATGGCGAGATAGCGCTCGTGCATCGTCTTTTCGTTGACGCCGCCGCCAGCATGTGTCTCGATTGTCGACTTTCTCGACGTTGTCGTGATGCTGCCATTGGTAGTAGTAGCTGGTACCGCGGAAGGATTATCAGGGCGCAGAATAGCCTCCTTGAGCTTCTTCCAATACGAACTCTCATCCTCAGAATTCGTCTGGTCAAAGTCGAACAGCACGCCCGCCTTCATCGCAGCCCTAATCATCCAGACGAGCGGAACATCGGCCATGTTCAAGGCCCCATCCTGGGGGTCCGCGTATCCGCCACCGACATCACAATGATTCCCTCCAAACCAGACCTCATGCACCGTCTGCCCAAACTTGGGATCATGCATGATCCTATCCAGCTCCTGCGGCGAGATGGGACTAGTGACGGGACTGAGATGCCTCACCGCCTGCGGCGTAGCGGCCAAAGACCTCGCCACCTCTGCAACAGCCGCCCTCTCCCTCGCCGTCTTTCCCGCAAAGCGATTCGGGTCCTTTTTCTCGGCGTCGATAGCCAATCCCGCCAAATCGGGACGAAACTTGACCCTCCTCTCATCAATGCTAACAGCATGCCAAATCTCTCTGGCACTACTTCTCGCCGAGTAAGGAAACGCCTTCTTCCCCGAGGCCCGCCCCAACCAGGCGTTCTCATACTGCGGCACGCTGTTGACCGTATCAAACAGTCCCAAGAAGCGAATCGGATCGAAATGCCTCGAGAACTTCTTCCGGAAGCCGACCAGCTTCTGCCCCAGTGCCTTTTGTTTGTTGTACTTTTTTCTGTTTCTCTTTTCGATGAGGGTTTCCTTCTTGCCATTCAGTTTCCAGGTATCAGTCGGTTTCGGCCCGTCAAACGGCTCGCGGCACTGCCACTCTGTAAACGTCTGCCAGGCAAAGTTGACCATCTCCTCGTTTCCATGGGGTAACAAGCCGACATCGTCGAGCATTTCGGCCAGGAACCGTGCTGTATATGCCCCCCGGGAAAACCCAAAGATGTAGACGTTATCGCCGGGCGCATAGTATCTCATGAG